AGATATATGAAATGCTCTTGATGTTTAGTACATTTAAAAGATTTTATATGAAATAATTGTAACAATGAATGTGTTAATCTATCTAATCTGCCATTGAATTGTGTACAAAAGTATCCTATTTTGAGATTATCCGATTGAGCAATAAGTAAGTGATTGGTCTCATGTCTACCCATCATCACTCCAAATGCAACTTATATTTGCACTTTAATTAACAATTGATAAGAAATGCTCATATTATGCTTAATTTCCTTTAATCCATTTGTAATCATTGAACACCTTTTGAATGTAAACATTAATAATGAACTAAATGTTCCGTCAATTAATAAATTATTGGATTTACCAAAAGTTCATATAAGGGTTCACCTGATATTAAGTACAGATAATAAAAGAAAAATAAAACAAATTCCGGGATATCAATGCAATTGAATTGTTGCCTTAAATAAACAAATGTGTATTAAATACTGTCTAACAAATATAACTCAAATTTCACTGCAATCACTACATTGCACTGTATATTAATAGGAATAAGTAAACAATAAAAGTATTTTCATTATTAAATCACAAAATTATCCAATTGAATGAATTGAATTGAAATAATAACATGTTGTAAAAAACTATTTGCAATGAATTGTAAAATTCAAGGATAAGTTTGAAATGTTTGTTCAAACAGTTTATGAGAATTATCTGTCTGTAAAAACTATTTGAATAAATGTTAATTATTAAAACAGTGACAGAAAAACATATTATTTCCAAAAATTAGTTTCACTTCACTTCATTCAAATTCAAAAGTGTAACTCATTTCTAGGAATATTTATAGTAAATAGTCAATGGATTCGATATCTATGTAAATCTATTACCTGAGAAATCAACTTGTATAATTTACTAAAATTTAAAGGTTTTGAAAATCAAATGAATGTCACACTAAATCTCTGGGAATATGCTATTAAAAGTGGGTATGTCAATTCACATGTGTTAATTAACTTGTAAAAGTTTGTTTTATGTTTTAATATTTTAACTACAAAATTATAACTACAGTATATAATATCATTATTATTTATAATAAATCTTATTAAACAATTGTACTTGAAAAATTAACTTATATAATTATATTTATTTCTTTCTAATATATTTTCTAATTTTATTATAATTATATAAAAGTGTAATGTAAATATTTTTGTACGATTCTATCACTCATTGATAAGAAATTGTTTTTTGTTTCTAGTTCCTATTAAATTTTATTTTTTAAGATTAATTATAATTAACTTGTTATTGTTATTATTTTATTATAATAATATAAGCTGATTGGCAAATCAAAGTATACGATAATTGAATTAAAATTTAATCTATAATTTTGTTTGAAATTATATATACTTTTAATTTAGCAATAATTATCAACAAATTTAATATCAAAATACAAATTCTTTTATAATTACAAAACTATCGAGTATTTTATATTTCACTTCTGGCGTATATTTTGTATACTGTAGTTTGATAATTGTTTTATTTGATTATATTTATCAATACTCTCATGTATTAAACCTGTGAATTTATGATAAACAATTTGACCGGGATTACAAGAATAATAGATATCAAAATAACATACCAATTATGGTGTAATATTTATATATAATACCCTGTTCATTCTTATGATAATCGGTTATCTTAGTAAACAAAGTGTCTGTATAAAAAGTCCTAACTTATTAAATTGTTTAAAATAAAAGTATACAATATCATATTGTCAATATGTAAATACAGCCAGTACTATCAATGATAGTCTATCATCTCAAATTGTGATGAAATAAATTAGATGACAAACCCTTACCGGTATTTATAATACTTATGAGCTTTTACTGTATATGATATCATACAAGAATCTGATTTCAATTAAATGTCAATTGAAACCAAAATTATGCAACACTTGATTATAGCAGTATAGACAGTTGTTATAAAAGTGTATTTTACTTAATATTAATAGAACCTGATGTTATATCGAACTAACAATGGTTAATAGTACATTTAATAGTTTAAATAGTTCTAATAATATCCTTATAATTGAGATATTATTGCCCAGGTATCGGAATACTGTATTATCAACCTTAACATTAGTATATAAACTAAGTTTTTTTCAAGATTTTTATTTTAAGTTAGAAGTTTCTCATTGATTATTGTTATTAGCTTTGAAATTAAGATTAATAATAATTTCGTTTTTATTTTGTGATAACATTTTACTACATTTTAGTTATATATGATCTTATTTTCTACTGTCTATTGATTATCTCATTATAATTTTACTTTTTAATTTCATTTACTTTTAATAAGAATCATCATTTTTACTGAAGAATATGTAAGTCTTTATTGAATTTATAATTACTTCAATTTATATTAAAGATATTTTCCAAAAGTACATCAAATATAGGTTTAATCTAATTTTAATTTAAATCTTGCATGTTTCAATGAACTATAGTATAGTTACTATACCTTTATATCCAGTATTGAACATATTTGCATTATTGACTGCTTTGTCATAATTAATAAAATCCATTTTCAATGACTCGTCGACAATAAGTTTGTTTGTGTCGATATTAATTGGCGATTGCATTCTTCCCCTGCATTTGTCGAACTCCTTTTCCCATGAATTCTCACCCTTTTTGCCCCAATAGCTCCATAGTATGTCTTATAAACAATTGTTAACATTATAATTTATAGTAGATTAGTAAAATATTTTTTTAATATATTTACCTCCCGGTGACTGTCGACTTTTTACACACCATATCAATGAAAACACTGAAAATATTAGATGCAAATTGAAATTAATTTTTCTTTAATTTAAAATTAAGTTAAATCAAATATGATAACTTAAAATGTAATTCAATCATGCATTTAATTTTAACATAAATCATATACTTTTCAGATATTATTTCTAAAGAAATTTCTTCAATTTGTATACTGTTTTAAAAGATTTCGTATTAAAAGAGAAAATGGTTTTCTATGAGTTTGTGGTATTTTTGTAATCACTGTTTGCATAACAGAGACAATCAAAAGAATAACAATTTATTGACTTAAATTCAATATTTGAATATCTATTAATATATTGCAAATATTAAATCAATTATAATAACCATGAATATGAAGATTGAGAATAATATAATACAAGACGAGAGGAATGGCAAGAAATCGGAAGAATTGGACACATATTTTACAGAAGAGGTACCGGTGCCACACAGTGATAATTATTCATTTAGTTGGCGAAGATTACTGGCCTTCACGGGCCCGGGATTTCTCATGTCAATCGCATACTTAGATCCGGGAAATATTGAATCAGATTTAAAGTCAGGCGCTGTGGCCAAGTATCGGCTGCTCTGGGTTTTGGTCAGCTCTACAATTGTGGGTCTATTCCTGCAACGACTGGCCGCACGCATAGGTGTTGTCACCGGAAAACATTTGGCAGAAGTTGGTTTTAGACGGTACCCAAAATTACCCCGACTTTTACTGTGGATTATGTCTGAAATCGCTATAATTGGCTCCGATATGCAAGAAGTTATAGGAACGGCAGTTTCCATATATTTACTGTCCAATCGAGTTATACCATTATATGCCGGCGTTTTGCTAACTATTTTGGATACCTTTTCATTCTTATTGCTCGACAAATACGGGTTAAGGAAACTGGAGGTGTTTTTTGGNCAATAATCTGATTGCAATCCAACGGATGATAAGCGACGCCAAGAAATTGGGTCTTTTGGATGACTTAATCGATATTCTCATAAAGAACTCCAAAAGAGATTCCGCTTATTTTGAAGACTAACCGTTAGATTAATGCCTTATTTGCGGACATATTATTATTTTTGTGAAATATATGTACATGTATTCAGAGTTACTGTATATTTTAATCATTATTTAACGTAACATTTGTTGAGAAAACAATAAAATATTTTAATTTTAACTCAATTTATCCTTTATTTATTTCATATATGATATACAGATGTACCTGTACAATATTAATATATTAATCTCAACATGTTATACACATAATCCATTTATACAAATTAGAACTTACTATATCTGTTCAATTTAGTAGTATTGGGTGTGAATGACCATTAGATGACCAATATTCTATAATATACTGTCAATTTGATAGCCATTCACACAAATGAATATTAGGGTATAAAATAGAGTAGGGTTCGAGATATATAATCATGGAATTAACTATTTTTTTCGTTACAGATTTAATACTCTAAATTTTAGAGTCTAAAACGGATAATCCAATTACAGTATAATCTTCTCTTCACTGTTTTATAGCCCCTACTTTGTGGATTGTAAAAATAATTTTTATAGTATAAAAACTACCATGGTAACTGTCATATTTAAGTTTACATAAAAGAGGTTTTTCCATTGAAGTACATTAGTTTTGGTCAAAAAATGCATAGTAACAATATTAGTGTTTGTAAGCTCAATTTATTTCTAACTGACTTTGATCAAATTAGTCCATTTAAAGCGAGTTTACAGAATTTGATCCTGATTATTCTCCTGAAGACTTTATGTCCCTACACCACGTTTAAGATAATGAATAATCATTGTTTGTGCAGCTAAAATAAGCTAGATAAAATTAATCTGATTACTGGATTTGAAAGAGAATTCAAAATGAGCAAGTACCTATTTCAGGAATTTTTTATTATCATTATAATTCTTATTGATTACAATTATAAATGTGTAAATTCATGTAAAATTTTGTTTTAAACATTAAATCCTATGAAACAAAAGTTATTTTGCAAAACACCATTCTCAATGTACTTACCGTTATTAATCATGAAATTATTATATTTATAATCTATAAAACACAATTAATAGTAGAAAATTACCTTATATTTGTCGTTACACTGTATAGGATACAAAGTACAGTACAGTATAAATTAGCTAGAATCTATGAAACAACAATTGAAAATATAATACAGTATTGCCGGCAGTATTCCCTCAAACAAACACATATCGAACCCTAAGTGTGAATCCAACTCAATGTACAGCAAACGTCTGATGCAATCAAATACTCATTGCATTCATTAGTATTGATTATATTTGTTATAATAATTGGCAATCAATTGAATTCTTGTGGAAATGAATCCAAAACCCAAATCAGATGAAAGTGTGGCCAAAGGGGGCAAAGAGATGACTGAAGAGCAGAGAAACAAAGCGCTACTCAAAGCCCAACGAAAGGCTCAATTTGTATGCAATTCACTGAAGACTTAATGAATGGCTAATTAGTAATGAATTAATGATTTGTTTGACAGGAAATGCAATTCAAAGACAAACTGAAGATCACCGCCAAAGATGTGGAAACTAAGAGTAAATCTGAGCTAAAGGCCGAACGAAGAGCCAAACAAGAGGTGCAAAGAATGGCAAAGCAATCAAATGATCCAAAAAGTGATGCAAAGAGTCACGAGAAGCAGAGTTTAAATGTCACTAAAAAGAGTCCAAATATCGACAAACAATCGGTTAAATCAGATGAAAGGGACACTAAAAGTGGTGACAAACCCATTGAGAGCACCACTAAAGACGTGAATGGAGTTAAGGAAACAGTTAAGGAGACAAAGAAATTGAGTTCAACTGCAGTGACCACGACATCAACGGCGAGTCAGCCATCTCTTGTAAAAAGGGGTCAAATCTTCGCACACATCCCGAAGCGAACTAAAGATCTGAACCAATTGAGTGATGAATCGACTTCTAGTGATATCCACCCGATTGTCATTCAGATTGGATTCCAGATCAATAAAAATCTCATCTGTGGCTCAAATTCAAGATGTGTTGCAATGCTGTTAGCCTTCAAGAAAGTGGTCGAAGACTATACGACTCCTCCCTCTAAGGAATTGACCCGAGATTTAGAGTCTCTCATCGATTCGTACGTTAAGTTTTTGGCCAAATGTCGTCCCCTTTCCATAAGTATGACAAATGCCGTGAAATTTCTGAAGCAAACGTTTTCCCGAATTCCGGCCCAAACTAACGACTCGACAGCAAAGACTCAGTTATGCGAAGCCATCGATGACTTCATTTATGACGAAGTGATTTGCGCGCAAAGAGGTATCGCTGAGTTGGCCATCACTAAAGTGAAGGACTCGGATGTTATCTTAACGTTTGGCTGCTCTTTGATTGTTAAACATGTCTTATATAATGCCATCAAAAAAGGAAAACACTTTCGAGTGGTTGTCGTCGACTCGAGACCTCGTTTTGACGGCAAAGAAATGCTTAAGTTTTTGCTCAAACATAATATTCCCGTCATTTACATCTACATAAATGCCATCTCATACGTGATGAAAGAGGTGACCAAAGTATTACTGGGCGCCCACTCCCTTCTGGCCAACGGGTATGTCATGTCACACATCGGCAGCTCTCAGATAGCACTGGTCGCACAGGCCTTCAATGTTCCCGTTCTTGTCTGTTGCGAGACATACAAGTTCTCTGAACGCGTCCACACCGACAGCTTTGTCTACAATGAAATCGGTATTCATTGCAATCTATGACTCCATAAGAAATGGTCATTATTTGTCATTTTCTACTTCAGGTGATTCGACAGATCTCTTGAATTCATTGTCCACTTCAAGTAAATCTCAAATCGACGCCAATAATAAAGACCTCAGCTTTTTGGACCTTCTCTATGACGTAACTCCACACGAATTAGTATCAGTAGTGATCACCGAAAAGGGTGTCCTTCCCTGTACTTCCGCACCCGCTGTGCTTAGGGTTAGGGAAACCAAATAGTGTCTCATATTTATTAATATTTTGCTAACAATTTATTTTTAAATTTAATAAAAGTATTTCACTTAACTGTCCAATTAGTCTATTGTGGTAATTGATAAAATTACATACATTTCCACTCATACTGTATAACTTGAATTGTTGTTTAATAACAATGGAACAGTATTTGCATTGCAATTAACATTATTTTTATTAAACACTTCAGTTTTAGACAAACATACAAATTATATTTCATTATTCAACACATTATTACCGGTAATACAATATTTCAAGTATTGTTTTATTGATTATAAATTAGAAAAGAATGAAACTTTTGTATAAAAGTTGATTTTTAAAGCAAATACCAATGCTTTAGATACACAATAGTATGTGACAAACATTTAGGCAAAAATGATTAGAATTATTGCAATCTATGACACATTGAATTCATATATCCATTAATAAGAGGTACTGTCGTATAGAAGTCGGGATTTGGATCTGTTTGACGACAGTGTCGGCCCGTCTCTCCAACCAATTCCTGAGCCTAACTCTACACAAGTGTTTGAGTCGAGGAAAGCAGTTGTTTTGATCTTTAATCAAATGATTCATCTCGTGATCTCTGAAGTTATTGACAGCAATGGCATCGTTGAGTGAGGCGTTTGTATTGAGATTAGTGTCGGCGCCGCTGGCGATCATCATTTTCATGAGATCTGTCTTTCCCTCCTTTGCTAATCGCGATATTGGACTCAAACCCATGAGATTGGGAGCGTTGACATCAGCGCCGGCGCGGACCAGCATTTCGGTGATGCTGTCCTGATTGCGGGTTATGGCTAAGTGTAGGGCATTCTCGCCGCAGACAATCGAGTCGTATTCATAGACATTCAGATTGCAGTTGTGATCAATGAGATGACGGACGGTGTCCTGACCATCGAGGGTGTGTTCACTACATCTTCTAATTGTGGTAATGAGAGGATTGAGACCATAGTTGTTGGGATTGTTTGGATTGGCGCCCGCCTGCAGAAGAATCTTCACTATATCCGAGTTTATAGTGAGACCACTGTTGATGGCGTGAAGTAATGGTGTGTTTCCGCAGTTGTCTTGAGTGTTCACATCCGAGCCCTGGAGTACCAAATACTCGACGATTTCAAACTGATTGCTAACAACAGCTAAAACCAAAGGAGTTCTTCCGTCCAAATCTTTCTTCTCTAAATCACTTCCGGATTCCACTAAAAGACGAACCAATTCTGGGAACAAATCAATGAAATGACTGTTAAGAATCTGAATGATTGGTTCATCACTTGCGATGGTATACCGAGTGAGGGCTGTTGTGCTGCCAAATGAAGAGGAATGTGTCCATAATTAGAGGCCATATTAAGCTGCGCCCTGTTTCCGATCAATAGTTTGGCGATTTCGACAAACAGGTGATTGCAGGCGAAGTGGAGGGCAGACAAGCCCTGAGTGTCCACTTGGTTTATACTGCACCCATGGCTCAGCAGAAGTCGGACCAAATCCAGGTGACCTCTTTGGGCGCACAGACACAGGGCTGGCGTGTGATGAGTACCATAATCATGTATCCTGGTGTCGGAGTCGACTCCCCTTTTCAGAAGGGACTCCACAGTCGAGCTGTCATTGTATTGAATGGCAACCAAGAGCTGGCTGTGAAGAGTCCAGATCTGCATGATTGCAGTGATTCCAGAGGACTGGTCACACAATGGGCTGCTCTTTGTGTTGTCTATCGTGCCATAACTGCCTCCAAGAAGTGACTCTGTATTGAGTGGTGAGCACTGACTCGCAGTCACCCAATGCTAGTGTCTATCAATCAATACAACTTAGGCTAAGAATAGTTGTGCAGAATTTGCTGTATATATGGCATAAACAAAGAAATAAATGTCATATGAATTGCATTCAAACCAATCCTCGAGAGTTTGCATTCAAGTGTCGATTACTTGTGGTTAAGATATAAGAAAATGTTTTGTAACGTAAGGAACCAAACAATTGAAGAGAGACTGACTGATAGACTGATGGAGTAATAAGTTTTGAAAAATGCAAATCCAGTTTCACTTCATTATTCCCTTCACTTGAGTTGAGTTTTCTTTTATTCACTCATATAATGGGCTGTATTTCTAGTTTAATACCGGTCCTCCTCAAGGATATTAAACATTACCAAAATTATAAATTCAATTCAATGGAGAGAGAGAGAGAGAGAGAGAGAGAGAGAGAGAATTGAAAAATAAATTTAAGTATTGCATAAAAATGAATGCAATTATTAGCCAAATGGTTAGCTTTATGTGAACTCAAAAGCAATGAAAGTCTGGCGATTTGCCCGACTCTTTGCCCTATAGTTTGTCTCTCATTACAGACAATACCTTTTAAGTCATTCAAGAGATTAAGATAAATGAACTGAACATTAGATGCTTTCATTGGATTGTTTGGCATCAGAAAAGGCAATGCTTTTGAAAAGCCTTGAATCAACTGAATATAACTTTTATTTGTAATTCTTGGTATAATAACTTGTATAACTTATTATAGTTTCAAAGTAAACATAATGATGTCATACAGACACTCAGGGATTGTTTGTTTTATGATTTACTTGAAGTCATAATTATATATTGAATTATAATCTAGTAACTTAGATAAGCGCATCTTTTAATCGCTTATTTTTAATTGAATGTTTAGAATACAGATTCAATAATACTTCCTATGTTTCTAACAATAAAATATTCAATGTATTCATGGCTTTTATCGCAATTCTAATTACATTTTAATGTATTTTAAATAGTTTTAATTTTACGATTGAAAAACAATTGAAAGCAGATATTAGTACTGTAAAATTAACAGGGTAAATACTGTAAACCTAAAGAATATTAACGCGAAAATCCAAATATAACCTAAAACTGGAAGTGTTTGTCATTTCTTTGTTTTATACAGAATTTTATAAATTATTTCGGTTTTTGGTCTAAAGTTTATATCGATCTGGGATTAATATTTGATCAAAAATTGCAGTTATCATGGTACTATAATAGAGTATACAGTAATTCGGTAATATACAGTATCTAATTGTTAGAAATTTTTATATTTTCATTAAAAATTATGAATAAAATATGACTATATATTAGTATAAGAATATGCTTCCCTTAAAATATTGAACTTGGCACTCTAAATAAATTTATATAGTTCTGCAACCCACTGTATTATATGAATACTTTCCGGTAAAATTTACAATAATATAATATAAATATAATTAATATAATTTTGAAATAAATCATTTGTTGATATTATAAATTTTTATTCATTTGAAACAATAGATTAATAGTTAATTTCTGATATTTCATTATAAATTTATTAAATAAATAAATATATATGCAATTAAGTAATATTTAAATAAGTGAAAAATATAATTTATATTA